CTCAAATCTGTCATAAAATTTGGACAGATAAATGATTGGCCAAATGAAAAATACGCAATAAAAATTGAATTCACTTGAAAAAATGTGAAGTTGGGTGGATAGTCCCAACACCTGAAAGTATAAAGCCAATGGAGGTATAAATGTGTTCTTGTGCAAAAAGTTCATGTCGATAGACATAAAGACGACTTGTGACACAAGAAAATTAGTAAATATCCTCACATTGATTATATGGAGACATATTCTCTTATGGTGGATATAATTATTTTAAGTTTTAATCTGGCAATACATGAAAACTTGATATGCGTATAATGGAAATCATTGAAGGATTAAAATTGTTCTGAAGCATATTAATGTTTCCAAGAAATCTATTAAATAAAGCTTCAAAAATCCTTATACGGATTGAAACAATCAAGACGCATGTGGTATAATCGCCTGTGTGAGTACCTATTGAAAGAAGGGTACAAGAATGATTCAATTTGTCCTTGTATATTTATAAAAAGATCTGGATTTGAATTTGTTATAATCGTTGTGTATGTTGATTCAAATATCATTACAACTCCCAGGCAACTTCCTAAAGCAGTAAACTGTTTAAAGAAAGAATTTGAAATGAAAGATCTTGGAAAGACAAAATTTTGTCTTGGTCTACAAATTGAGTATATGAAAGATGAAATTTTTATCAATCAATCAGCATACACTAAAAGGATTTTAAAGCGATTTTATATGGATAAAACACATCTATTTAGTACCCCGATGATTGTGAGATCACTCGATATAAATAAAGATCCATTCCGGCCTCATGAAAATAATAAAGAACTTGTTGGTCCTGAAGTACTATATGTTAATGCAATTGATGCACTAATGTATCTTGCTAACACTAAAAGGCGTGGCATAACATTTTCAGTTAATGTCTTAACAAGATATAGCTCTGCTCCTACAAGGAGACATTGGAGTGAAATCAAACACATATTGTGTTATCTAAAAGGGACTACCAATGTGGGCTTATTTTATGGCAATGATTGCAATCCCGATCTTGTTGGTTATGCCGATGTAGAGTATTTATCTGACACACACAAGACTTGATCTCAAACATGCTATGTGTTTACATGTGGAAGTACTGTCATATCTTGGCGATCGACTAAGCAATCAATCGTGGCTACTTCTTCTAATCATGTTGAGATAATTTCTATTCATGAAGCAAGTCGAGGATGTATTTGGTTGAGGTCTATAATATATCTTATCCGAGACAAATGTGGTTTGAAGTGTGAAAAACTACCCATAATTTTGTATGAAGACAATGCAGTATGCATAGCCCAATTGAAAGGATGATTCATAAAAGGAGATAAGACAAAGCACATTTTACCAAAGTTATTTTTCACACATGATCTTCAAAAGAATGGTGATATCAATGTGCAACAGATTCGTTCAAGTGATAATATAGTTGATTTGTTCACCAAATCTCTACTGACGTCAACCTTCAAGAAACTGGTGTACAAGATTGGGATGCGAAGGCTGACGGATGTGAACTGATGCTCTCATCAGGGGGAGTTAATACGCGGTGTACTCTTTTTCCCTTACAAGGTTTTGTCCCACCGGGTTTTACTTGCAAGGTTTTTAATGAGGCAACCAAAAGGCGTATTTCTAAATATGTGTACTCTTTTTCCTTCATTAGGATTTTTTTTCCCATATGGTTTTTTCCTAATAAGGTTTTAACGAGACACATTATTTATGGACATTCAAGGGGGAGTGTTATGATAAATATCATATTATGGTGGATGTCTACTCTTCCTCCATGATCTTCATGTCAAATGCTTAATGACATATTCAATGACATATTTTCTATGTTCAATGACATATTCCATGACATATTTTCTTCACTTTTCATGCCTATATAAAGGCCTTGTAATAGATAGGAAAATACACAAAATTAAAAAAAAAATCTCTTCCTTCTCTCTATCTCCATTTCTTGTTCATGTTTTACTAAATTGCTTTTATTTCCTTGTTCCACATTGCTACTTTGAATTATATTTCATAACAGTTATCCAATTTTAGGGTAATATTTATTCCGTTTTAAGAAATTGGAGGCAAAGATAAGGTATAGTTGGAAAATCAGCCTTAGTTCAGGGGTACTTACGTCTTTTCGCAGGACCATAAATTTGTTTTTCTTGTTCTCCATTTTCCTTTTCTTTTTATTTTTCCTTATTCCAAACTGGGCTTTAGCATTTACATCTATAAATTCCCATCCCTTTGAATCTTTTTTTCTTTCTCTTCAATTCAACCCAATCCCCTCTTTCTTGTTGGTTCATAATTGTCCGTCCGTACGTCGAATCTGTGCTTTGTTTCAGTTGCACTTGAAAAAAACAAACAATTTTTTCTCCGTCAGCCGTTTCATTTTCATAGAGATTCATCAAATTCTGAAGCGTTCTTGAGACCCATTTTGAAGATCTGGTGTTCTGTTCTTAGTTTCTTAGTATATGGACTATGAACTTTTAGACAGCAGTGGTAAGTCCCCTTATTAATTGGCTCCAATTCTTGTTCTATTTTCCTAGGTTTAGGGTTTTCCTAATTTCCCTAAACCCCTTTGATTTTCCTCGAATTCGGGGTCTGTAATTATGTACAATTATGTCCTTATTCTATTTAGGTTATTCCGCAAAGGGTTGTATTGTGTAGATTTGTGGTAAGCTCCGCTGGATTACTCTCTGAAAATTAAGGACAAAGAAACTAGGGCTCGGTATGTGGTTGGTTTGTGGCATTTCTCTTATGTGGCATTGCTTTATTTGTAGCGTTTTCTTTTTCTTTGTACTTGTTTTTGGCTAAGTTTGAATGATTGGATGAATTTTTTTAATTTTGTCAGTTCATTATTTTATGGCGCGATTACAGGCTATTCTTAGAGTGGTTATGTCTTTGTATTTGTTTCAAACGAATTGTGAAGAGTACTGATTGTGTGAATTTTTTGTTTTAACTCAGTACATGGCATCTGTAGTTTAAGAAAGTTTGTATCCCAGTCATATCCTGATACATCTATTTTGCTGGAAAGGCAAATCTTTATTTTTAACTTATTTTTCCCCTAGAAAAATCAAGTCTGTTTCCAAGCATAGGGTTAATTCCTTCCTTATGTACCTTTTTCTATTATTCTTTTGCTTGTATAAGAAGGGGGGGGTGGGGTAATTTGGGAGGGAGCAGCACTTAAATTAAGACCATGTGAACTAATAGATTTTACAGTATGCACTTCTTCATTAATATCTCTTTATTACTTCTTCCCCTTTCATAGTCGGAGAGAAAATATTCCTCAAATTTAAACCGCATTAATAATGTTTTATATTGTGCAGATTATTATGTTCATTCATCTGGTTTGTGGAGGAAATGGTTTTATTCTGAATTACTTAGAGAGGCCTTCTGTCCTTGTTTTCATTTTCTTTCCTCTTCTTGAGTCTGGATTAAAGCAGTGTTATTAAAAGCCATCACTTCTCCGTTTAAAGTGATGACGCGATTCAAAGCGAAGTGTTTTTTGGGCGAGGACATGTCTTTTAGAGAAGTATTGCTTCACACAATGACGCACAAAGTGATCCCAATGAGAAGCGAATTTTTGAATCTCAACTTTTAGGAGTTGGATTAATATTGGCATAAATTAGTCATTTTAGTTGCAATTTGATCATTAAAGTACTAAATTCATATACTTTTTGATATTTTTAATTTTACATGTGCATTGCTCTTCTTGCTTTGCACTTCAAGCCTGGTTGACCTTGTCATGTTTTTTTTTTTGTTGCGCTTTTCTCTTTTAGAAGCATTAGATGTATCGAAATGTGTAGTAAATTCTATTTGCTAGGACTGCCTATTTACTATTTCTTCTGGAAATGTCCACAGGCTCCAAATATCCAGTTTATTTCTTAATCAGTAGCTAACTCGTCAAAAACCAGAGGACAATAGAAGCTGGTTGTTGGGGGAGGGGGTTGATTAAAAAGATTGTTGACTAAATCTGATGGTTTCTTTATTAGGTGAGTGCATTTTCACCCATCATGTTATGGCCGGTGTAGCAATGGAGTTAAAATGTGTTTTCAACTGATTATTGTGTCCGCTTTGGAAGCTTTGTTTCTCGTAATTTGGTAACACCATTAAAAAATAAAAAATAGAACCACTTGCAATGAAGATATTTGAAGGGAAGTAAATCTTACTGTTATCATCAAAATAAAAAGGTGGAAAAGAAGCAAAATGTAAAATAACTAGCAGATGTAAATACTTATGACCTAAGTTGCTCGGACTCGGGTGCAGGTATCTGATACGGGGACGGATCCGTGTATCGGACTCGGCAAAATCTAAACTTTAAGATTCGGGGGTGCGGATCCAAATATGGATACGGGTGAGGGGATTCGGCTAATAAAAAATAGAGCTACAAAAATATTGTAAATTTTGAGAGATATTCTATGAAAAACTTACATGAGTATTGTATAATTCAATCTTTCATTCTCCAAAATGGACATTATTTTTTCATTGTTCTAAATCTGTTTTATTTTTGATTTTGAGAAATCAAAATCTCAATTTTTCTCCCAAATTTGTCGGTGGACTCCGGTCAAAGTGTCCGAAGTCAGTTGACCGTATCCGGGACGTATCCCGTATCCAGACGGGGACGACACCAAAATCGAAGAGTCCGTGCAACTTAGCTTATGACTTATCTTGAAGGGAAGTAAATCTTACTGTTATCATCAAAACAAAAGGTGGAAAAGAAGCAAAATGTAAAATGACTTGCAGATGTGAATACTTATGACTTACCCTTTTTTGTTAATTAATGTTGTCAACCATGGAATTTTGTCTCTCTCTCTTGTATGCTATACCAATATTATTTGGACTTTTCTTCGTTTCAAATGTGGTTTTTGCACTTTTCTGCCTTCAGCTATTTCACGAACTTTTGCCGCTGTGACATGCAATAAAGACAAATTTGTTGCCCTTGTTTTGATAAGTAAGACACTTTGTTGCCAGTAATGTCTCTTGTCGCATTCTTACTAAAGAATGAATTGTATGTTTTGTATGTTTATTGTGTTGCTTACAGTGTCTGCGTGGGCCAATCAAAATATGCACTATTAGCATCTCGGATATTTATCTCGGTGAGGTGTGTTACAATCTCTTTGCATTGCACATATCTGGATTCTCTAGAATCTCTTTTTCTTTTTCCTTTCTGAATGAAGGTGGTTGCTGAGTTCTCTTAGAGTAATAGGCTAAATTCGACATCTTTATATCACTAAAATATAGAGTGCCTGATAGTGGGACTATCATTTGCTTAGTTAATGTTTTACTATAAAGATATGTTGAATCTATTTTTTACATGGCTGTTAACCGACCTTTTTACTTTGTTATTGTTCTTGGCTGTAAAAAAGGGTTGTTAAGTACATCTTGTTTTTAAATAACTTTTCACAGTCTTTTCTTTAGGTTACCTCCACTTCAATGGTGTTTTCCTTCACTGTTTTGCAATTAATGTAGGTACTGATGATGATCTGCCTCAATCACAATATAATAGAGCCCCTGCAGGAAGTATTATCGCTGGAAACGGAAGGTCTAGCATAAGTTCAGCCCTATACCAAAGGATGTATGTTGATATGGAACCCCAAATTCACAACCTTGAGCAGGAAGCATACGGTGCAATCCTTCGAGCTTTCAAAGCACAGTCTGATGCTCTTACATGGGTATATAACTGTTACATTATGTGTGTTTGCTCTCTATAGCATTTTTTGAGTGGGCACTTATGCTTTCCAGCATCTATAATTCTCAGGAAAAGGAAAGCTTGATAACAGAACTCAGGAAAGAGCTAAGAGTATCAGATGATGAGCACAGGGACCTACTAACCAAGGTCAATGCAGATAACCTCATTCATAGGATCAGGGAATGGAGAAAGAATATGGGAAACCAACCTGTTCATGAACAACTCCCTAGTCCAACGGTTTCTGGATCAAGAAAGAGGCCTAAAATGTCACAGTCTGTGATAATGCCATTTGGTGCCCCATCCGAGTCATTGCACCATCAGACAATTGGTGCAAGCACACAACCTACAACTCCAGGTGCAAAATGGGGAGTAGCACCAGGAAATGGAGGATTGAGGTCTAGACCTGTATGTTTCTTGATTACTAATGGAGCTTTGTTCCTGTAGTCATAGATATGGATATCAATGTATCTTTGAACATGTTTAACGCATTCTATCTTTTGAATAGGGTCAACCAGTTTTCTCCTCAAAGCCCGCTCATTATCAACAGGCTGGTCCTGGTTCTTCAGGTGCTCTTCGTTCAGGTGAACTTGCTGAAAGACCACGTGACTCCTTCCTTGGGAGAAGAGTGATGACTAGGTGGCCAGATGACAACAACTTCTACGAGGCCATTATAACTAAATACAACGCTGTAGATGTACGTTTTGAATTTAATTAGTGTTTTGGGGGTTATGCAATGTGCATAAATGGCGGGAGGGTGCAAATTATTTGTCAGCATACTTATGTGAGAAATGACCATCAGAAAGGATCATGCTTTCAGAGTGTCACTAGGTGCCAATGCGATTCTCTTTGCCTGCTTTCTTGCTTTTTATAGAACAATGGTACACTAGTAGCCATGTTTATACAAGAAAAATAGATGGTAGCAATGCTCCCTTAGTGTGATATTCAACTAGGAGTATTTTCTTAGTTTTTCCACGTGGTGCTCTCATAACTGGAAATACTTCACTCCTTTTGCCTTTCTCTTCCTTTTCCATGGAAAGGAGGGTAGTTTAAGGTGTTGCAAATTCCACTGAGATAGATAGAGAGAGAGATGAATTACCTATTCTTTAACCTCAAGATTATGTAATTTTTTATCATTCCTTTATCCTTAATCTGATTTTTCTAGATAGGACTTTTTACACTTTAAATTCTTGCTATTGCTTCAACCTTTTCTTTTTTTGGGGTATGGGGTTGGGAGCAGTGGGGAGACACGTTGACTGAAGGGGTGCCCTTCGCTGGAAAATTATATTGTATATATTGGTGAAATGTAATGTGTATATATATAAATTGTTGAATCCCTAGATACAAGAGAACATTTTTCTGAATTCTCTTGATGAAATTCCTGCCCCTGCCACTGGTTCCTACCCTTTGCTTTATAAATTTTTAGTGCAAGCTCCTTGTGATTTGGCAAGTTCTTTTCTCGAAACCTGACATTTAACAATGTTGCTTTTAGATTCTAATAGTTCTCTTTGGAGTTCTGTTAAAACGAAGATAATAGGGGATTGATAAAGCAAAATATTACTCTAGATGCACTGTTCCATGAACTAGATACAGGTTTAAAAAAATATTAAAGGCGCTCTAGGGTTTGCCTGACTTTTAGAGTACCAAAGTAAATTGTTGCACCATGAATTGTATAGTCTGCTGACTTGCATTTTCTTTGTCTAGGGTCGGCATGCTTTGGTGTATGATATTGATACACCAAATGAGACCTGGGAATGGGTTGATCTCAAAGAGGTATTCTCTTTTGTTATTTAATTGGCTGTCTTCCTGCTTCATGTGTGGTACATGTAAATTTGGTCCTTAGAAGAGTCATTTTCTTGAATTCTTTTGGTATATGAATTTAGTACAAATAATTGATACAGTTCGGATGGCAAATTGGTCATTTTTAATCTTGTAAAGTCTAATTGTTGAATCTTCTACAAAATAACGATTCTAATCGTTGGATTGACATATAGAGACCTAGAACTTGCACTTCTTGGGTGGCCTTGCAGCCTTACATAGGTGCCATTTGTGGTTTTTTTTTTTTTTTGAGATGTTTGCTTAGGTTCCACACTTTTAGCCCTCTGTTGGATAAATTTGTATATATCTCTGCTTCATGATTAATGCAACAATGTATTTCTTGCTCTATGTAATTCTTATGTTATTTCCCTTACGGTTTATGTAGAATCTTGATTGTTTTCTGCTTCAAACTTGTTGAGATAATATATTTAATAATTACTAGCGCCAAAGGACATTATATCTTTCCAAAGAGAAGAGGTGTGAAGGACATTGATACTATAATATAGCATTTTGAACATGGAGGACATTGGGCAATAGATTAGTGAAATCACTTTGTTATTTCCTTAAAATGCAGATTCCCTCCAATGATATTCGATGGGTAGGTGATGATCCTGGAATATCTCAAGTTGGTGGAGGTGGTGGGCCAGGCTATGGAGTTAATACTCTAAGTGCTGGAAGAGGGAGGAGATTTGCTAGGCAACAATTTGAGAATGATGTTCCCGCGTCACAAAACGGAATTGTACAGAGGACTCCAGATGAAATTGAGATACTACACACAGAAACACTGTTAAAGAAGGTATAATACCGACCGGATCTTGGTCAACTAAATAACTCATACATAACAAATACATAATACATCATTTTTAAAGTCTTTTTTTTCCTTGCCGAGCTATCAGGTTGAGAAGGTTATTGATGCAAGTCACCCTGATCTGCTTGAGATTGAAAAGGCTAAGAAAATGCTTAAGGTAGAATCACTTCAGCAGTTCCTTTAGCCTATATTTGTTTCTTCTGACGTCTGAAACCTGATTGCATTTGTTGACCTGACAGGAACATGAACAAGCTCTAGTTGATGTGATTGCCAAGCTTGCGGATGTTTGTGACAGTGGAAGTGGTATGAAATAATTACGGTTTAGGTTATTCTGTTGTGTGTAGAATTGCTCTGGGTTTTGCCTGGTAGTTTCTTGTTCTACTATGTTCTGTGTTATAGAGAGCTTCTTCTATATCGCCATTTTTTAAAAGGGGGAGGGTTCCTGAAAAACAAGTTCAGACACTTCTGATATTCCAACTTTGAGGGAATCACTATTATATTTTGTTTTCTTGACTCTACATTATGGTGGAGATTTTTTCAAAAACTGGTCAATGTTTTTGCGGAAATTTGCAGAACTTGAAAGATAAAAAGTCTGACAAAATGCTATTTAGGACGTTTCAGTTTTCCGCAAAATCCAAAAATTTGCGGAAATTTGCAGAACTTGAAAGCTAAAAAGTCTGACAAAATGCTATTTAGGACGTTTCAGTTTTCCGCAAAATCCAAAAATTCCTATAAATATGTTTTTTAGAAAAAACTTATCTTCTAATAGTGTTTGGTTGGAAAAAGATTTCGAAAAACTTTTATACTTTCTTCCAAAAGAAAATCAACATGTTTTGAAAGCAAACATTGTACAGTAGATTTTTTATTTCAGGTTTCGATAATTTCCCAAACAGACGTTTGGGTTTGCTTTATACAACTTACGTCTTCTCAAAAGTTCTGGTAAATTCTTCAGTCATCGCAGCAAGTTAACCTGTTTACCTCTATGAAACGCGATACAGCTTTTACCAGAATGTCCTGCTAGTTGTGACTGTGGCCACTAAAGAATTGGACCATAATGTCGTGATTGATATATTGCAAAAATTAGTATTTTTGTAATTTCACAAAAGAAAAGGAGTTCTGTGGTCTTAGAAACCTGGTGAACGAAAGTTTTTGTCCTAAAAGAATTACCCATTAACCCCCATCATATTTGCATAATCGCGTTTCCAGTGAGCAGATTGTTGTAAATATGTGATGATGTATCAATGGAGACTATACTTTGATTCAACTGTTGAATGCAGTAGCATACCAACAGTAGCATTATAATTCCTCTTTTTTTGTGGTATACTTTATATGATCAGGTGGGGAGCAGCCCTCCTTTCCTAGAAATTATCCACATGGAAGCAATCATGATGGCGCCGATATGGATCCTGAGACGAGGGGAAGACCTCTAACTAACGAAACAGCAAGAGGTCAAGGCGCACAGGAAAATCAGCAAGATGAGGATGTCATCGTTATTTAGTTCAATTTCCTTCTCATAACAGCAACATTTGTACTTTGTCTATGTAGGATTCTGGAGCTACTAAACTTTGTATTTCAGCTCGATTTTATGGTAGAAATGGATTCAAGTGCCATAGTTAGTTGCATTTGTTAATCTTGTAAGACGATGTAGAGTTCTCTTTGTATGTTCTATTTCAGTAACTTTTAGTTGTGCTGCTACGATGGACTCCTTCATCCACCTCCCATCCACTGAATAAAGCTGCTTCTGTTTTCTTTTCCTTTCCCAAGCAACTTTTCTTATAATAGTAGTGTTCATGCCAGGTTGCGTCCATTATTTTATAGAATAACTGTTATCGGCCACTAACACAAGTTTCGGAGATTCCACCCACCAAGGCCGAGATAGATATACTTTTTAGAGCGCAAGACTAACCCTTTGGGAGTTAAT